CCATCGAATTTGAGCGATCGGGAAATTTTTTTGAAAAACAAACAAATTTCTAACCAATGGTGGGAGAATCGTGCCAGAAATGTCATCGGAAAAGAAATGAGCCGCGAGCTGGAGAGAAAAGAAAATTCCTTTTCTGTAGCCACACGAGGGGAAATGAAAGGCGTGGCCGGTCGAATTTTGTGATGATTGGTGGCGCCATCGGGTTACAAAACACAAAATTCCCTACAGAAAATTTGTTCGGAATTTGACCCATATATGACCTGCACATCTCTAGTACAAAATGTTTCTATTTTTTACCACCCCCCCCTTTAAATTATGTGTTGCAAAGACACATCTGTGATTGGCCGGGTAGTAGACACGTGCGGTTCGTTTCCAATCGAAATTCAGACAAAATTTTCGTTATTCGGACTTTCAGATTTATCCGGATCTCCAAATGACAACAGAAACGTCTTGAAACAAATCCAAAATAACGAAACAAAATTTGGTCAAATTATCCGAATTCAAAACAAATAAACATATTGCTGATTTCATCTTCCGGAATTTGAATTTCATAAAATAATAGAATAGAATAACATAAATATAGCCATCATTGGAAATTCGAATTTAGAAAAGTGTAGACTACAATATAAAAGAATAGGATGGAAAATAAATAAAAATACAATTGAATAAAAAAAATAATAATAGAAAAGAATAGAATAGAAAATAAAAGAATAGATTAGAATAGACTAGAGGAAAATAGAAAGAATATAGTCTTCTGAAATTCAAATTTTGAAAAGAATAGAATAAAATAGAAAACATAAAATAGCAAAGAATAGAATAGAAAATAAGTAGATAGAATAGAAACAAAGATAGAATAGACTCGAATACAATAGAAAGAATATAGTCGTCTTCTGAAATTCAAATTTTGAAATGAATAGAATAAAATATAAAAGACTAGAATAGAAAAGGACAAAAATAGAATAGAATTAAGTAGAAAAGAATAGAAAGGAATATCTTTGAATAACATAGAAAGAATATAAGTCTTCCGAAGTTCAAATGTTGAATAGAATAGAACTAGCTATCCAATGAAATGAAATTCAATCAACTTGGATCGATTCAATATTTCTGATTCAAATTCGATTCGAGTCGAGTGACAGTTTGAATCGTGCCGAAAATGAATAAACGAAACGGATTTCATTACGAATGCAGCTAAACGCAATGAGTAAGTTAACGAATCGATTTGGAACTAAACAACTTTTTTCTGGTTGTTTTCCTAGTGTAGGGGTTGGGGCCCCCAGGGCTCCGACATGCACAGCGTACACATTTGCGCGGGATCCGGCTGCCGGCAAAACCTGCGTATAAAGTGTTCGGCAGCTCAGTGTGGTCACCCTGCTGACTGTGTGCGGTCAGATCTGTACTATGGTCAGTCGTTCGTTCGAAATGACCAAAAGGAGGCGCCGTTCTGGACCTGTGCCGCTGCTGCCGACCCATTGTTTATTATCTGGCCCCTCCCCCAACATCCCGCAACCCCGAGGGAGTCGTTCATGAAGCATCAGCAGCACCTAATGGCCTCATCCTTGGTGGTTCGATTTCACCTGCACTGCTGCTGCCGCTGCTTACGCATTATTTATATTTACATCTGGCCCTCCCACAACCCCGAAGGAGTCGTTCATGAAGCATCAGCGGCCCCCCCTCCCCCAACAATCCCTCATTGGTGCCAGTAAATGCAACAATAACCTCCAACATTGGTGTCAGTGGATACAATGATAACCCCCAGCATTGGTGTCAGTGGATACATTAATAACCCCCAGCATTGGTGTCAGTGGATGCAATAATAACCCCCAGCATTGGTGTCAGTGGATACATTAATACCCCCAGCATTGGTGTCAGTGGATGCAATAATAACCCCCAGCATTGGGTGTCAGTGGATGCAATAATAACCCCCAGCATTGGTGTCAGTGGATGCAATAATAACCCCCAGCATTGGTGTCAGTGGATGTATTAATAACCCCCAGCATTGGTGTCAGTGGATGCAATAATAACCCCCAGCATTGGTGTCAGTGGATGTATTAATAACCCCCAGCATTGGTGTCAGTGGATGCAATAATAACCCCCAGCATTGGTGTCAGTGGATGTATTAATAACCCCCAATATTGGTGTCAGTGGATGCAATAATAACCCCCAGCATTGGTGTCAGTGGATGCAATAATAACCCCCAGCATTGGTGTCAGTGGATGTATTAATAACCCCCAATATTGGTGTCAGTGGATGCAATAATAACCCCCAGCATTGGTGTCAGTGGATGCAATAATAACCCCCAGCATTGGTGTCAGTGGATGCAATAATAACCCCCAGCATTGGTGTCAGTGGATGTATTAATAACCCCCAATATTGGTGTCAGTGGATGCAATAATAACCCCCAGCATTGGTGTCAGTCATTTCTCATTAATCACGCCCCTCGCGGAGGTTACTTTCCCTTTAAGATTTTATTTCTGAGCCGAAAACCTAAAAATGCTTTTCCACCTGCAGAGGGTTCCCTTTTCTCAGGATTTGTATTACAGGCAGAGAGCGCCATCTAATGGTGGTCAGGAAGAAGACGTCGCTGCAGTCTTTGGCATTGCTGTCATCATACTGACCGAGACAAGGACTAACTTGATCTGATGGCGGACGGGGAGTGAAGACCAGCGGTCAGGGAGTGAAGCCCAGCACAGGTGGACGGGGAGTGAAGACCGGCGGTCAGGGAGTGAAGCCCAGCACAGGCGGACGGGGAGTGAAGCCCAGCACAGGCGGACGGGGAGTGAAGACCGGCGGTCAGGGAGTGAAGCCCAGCACAGGCGGACGGGGAGTGAAGCCCAGCACAGGCGGACGGGGAGTGAAGACCGGCGGTCAGGGAGTGAAGCCCAGCACAGGCGGACGGGGAGTGAAGCCCAGCACAGGCGGACGTGGAGTGAAGACCGGCGGTCAGGGAGTGAAGCCCAGCACAGGCGGAAGGGGAGTGAAGCCCAGCACAGGCGGATGGGGAGTGAAGACCGGCGGTCAGGGAGTGAAGCCCAGCACAGGTGGACGGGGAGTGAAGACCGGCGGTCAGGGAGTGAAGCCCAGCACAGGCGGACGGGGAGTGAAGACCGGCGGTCAGGGAGTGAAGCCCAGCACAGGCGGACGGGGAGTGAAGACCGGCGGTCAGGGAGTGAAGCCCAGCACAGGCGGACGGGGAGTGAAGCCCAGCACAGGTGGACGGGGAGTGAAGACCGGCGGTCAGGGAGTGAAGCCCAGCACAGGTGGACGGGGAGTGAAGCCCAATCACACGATCAGAGAATCAGACACAAAATATTGCTTTCGCAGCAATCGTACGAAAATAATCCGATTCTTGAGTACGCGGCTTTCATCCGAAATGATCCGAAGGGACAAGCACGGAAATGTTTCTACGACTCCGGAACGTACAATTTATTGTTACTCAGAGAAGTTTTCATCCGAAAATACAATACAAATACACGGCGTCACTTTTTTATTGTCGTACGCAAATATTTGTAACTTTAGTAACCTCTTCACCTTCGATATGAGACGAACATACCAAAAAAAAAAGTGAACGATCATTCGCTGATCTTCTCATCCTGTGGGCGGGGCTTAATAGATTTGTTTTATCTGCTTAAATAAAAGTAAAGGCAACAAGAGGAGGGGGGAGGGGAAATAGAGAGAGAAGGAGAGAGAAGGAAGAGAGGGACGGGAGAGAAAGAACAGAGAGGAGATGGAGAGATCAGAGAGAGAGATGGGAGAGGGAACAGATAGAGGAGATAAAGAAGAGAGAAGAGAGAGGGAGAGGAGACAGCAGAGGAGAGAAGGAAGAGAGGAGATGGGGGGGATAGAGAGGAGATGGAGAGATCAGAGAGAGAGATGGGAAAGGGAAGAGATAGAGGAGAGGAGAGAAGAGAGAGAAAGAGGAGACAGCAGAGGAGAGAAGGAAGAGAGGGATGGGGGGGGGGGGGGATAGAGAGGAGATGGAGAGATCAGAGAGAGAGATGGGAGAGGGAACAGATAGAGGAGAGAAGAGAGAGGGAGAGGAGACAGCAGAGGAGAGAAGGAAGAGAGGAGATGGGGGGGATAGAGAGGAGATGGAGAGATCAGAGAGAGAGATGGGAGAGGGAAGAGATAGAGGAGAGGAGAGAAGAGAGAGGGAGAGGAGACAGCAGAGGAGAGAAGGAAGAGAGTGATGGGGGGGGGGGGGGCAGAGAGGAGATGAGAGAGATCAGAGAGAGAGAGAAAGAGAGAGTGAACACATAAAGGAGATAAAAGAGGAGTGAAGGGAAGAGATAAGAGCAGGATCAGAGAGAGGAGACAGAGGAAGGGAGAAAAGAGATGTAAGAGAAAGGAGAGAGAACAGAGATGACAAGAGAGAGAGATAAAGAGAGGGAAGAGATAAAGGAGATAAAAGAGAGAGGAGAACAGTGGGAAAAAAGCAGTAGGAAGAAGGATGGGAGAGAAAGAAGAGAGGGGGTGAAGGAAGAGATAAGAGCAGGAACAGAGAGAGGAGAAAAGAAAAAGAAGGAGAGAGAAAAGAGGTGTCAGTGACAGAGGGAGAGGAGACAGGAAGGGAGAACAGAGAGAATGAACAGAAAGGAGACAGGAGAGAAAAAAAGAGAGAATGGGGGAACAGAGGAAGAGGAGACCTAAAAAAAAGAGGGGTGAAAAAAAAACAAAGAGAAAGAACAGAGAGGAGATGGAGAGATCAGACAAAAGAGGACAGGCAGAGGGTGCAGGACGTTGGTCTCCCAGGGTGCCGGCCTGTATGTGTGCTCCCCCTATAGGCGGGTGTTGGGAGCAGCTCTGGGTTGTGGCTGGCACAGCGAAGGTCAACCCGCAGGCTGCTCCCGATCGATCGATGGGTGAACTTACACACCAGAGGACAGCAGATGCCACAATTAACTCTTCGCGTGCCGGAATGTCCGTAGCAGGAGATGTTGTGGAGTTCAGCCGCACTGCGAGTCCCGGGGCTCATTCACATTATTGCATCACACTAACCCTCCGCAATCCCTGTTACTGCAAGGTGTGGCAGAGCACCGCGCATGCGTGACCGCATCAGTTACTTTAAATGGCACCGAAAACGCATGTCCAGAAGGCAGCCGTGTTACACAGAACACGCACAGTGTGCAGCTCTTATATATGAGCTCCCCTCCAGTCTTGCACAGGTATACCGGCTCCTCCCCTTCAGTCTTGCACAGGTATACCGGCTCCTCCCCTTCAGTCTTTCACAGGTGTACTGGCTCCTCCCCTTCAGTCTTGCACAGGTGTGCTGGCTCCTCCCCTTCAGTCTTGCACAGGTGTACCGGCTCCTCCCCTTCAGTCTTGCACAGGGTGTGTACGGCTCCTCCCCTTCAGTCTCGCACAGGTGTACCGGCTCCTCCCCTTCAGTCTCGCACAGGTGTACCGGCTCCTCCCCTTCGGTCTCGCACAGGTGTACCGGCTCCTCCCCTTCAGTCTCGCAAGATGTACCGGCTCCTCCCCTTCAGTCTCGCACAGGTGTACCTGCTCTTCTCCTTCAGTCTCGCACAGGTTTACCGGCTCCTCCCCTTCAGTCTTGCACCGGCTCCTCCCCTTCAGTCTTGCACAGGTGTGCCGGCTCCTCCCCTTCAGTCTTGCACAGGTGTACCTGCTCCTCCCCTTCAGTCTTGCACAGGTGTACCGGCTCCTCCCCTTCAGTCTTGCACAGGTGTGCCGGCTCCTCCCCTTCAGTCTTGCACAGGTGTGCCGGCTCCTCCCCTTCAGTCTTGCACAGGTGTACCTGCTCCTCCCCTTCAGTCCTGCACAGGTGTACCGGCTCCTCCCCTTCAGTCCTGCACAGGTGTACCGGCTCCTCCCCTTCAGTCTTGCACAGGTGTAGAGGCTCCTCCCTTTAGTCTTGCACTGAGCTTCTCACAATGTGCGTTAGAAGCTGCAACAAGCTCCACCCTATTTCCTGGCTGGAGGACATCCAGCATCATCTTGCGCTTTGTTTCCCAGCCTTACTGTTCCTGGCCCCACCCCTTTCATTCATTGGATTTCAGTTCTTTCAATCATGGATGATCACATGGGAGTGGCTGTTACCTATGTAACAATGTACAGTCTGATCACTGGGGGAGGAGACTGAGGAAATGCCTCCTCCTCCTTCTACAAAGTTACAATGTACAGTGTGATCACTGAGGGGAGGGGAGACTGAGGAAATGCCTTCTCCTCCTTCTACAAAGTTACAGTGTACAGTCTGATCACTGGGGGAGGGGAGTCTGAGAAAATGCCTTCTCCTCCTTCTACAAAGTTACAGTGTACAGTCTGATCACTGGGGGAGGAGACTGAGGAAATGCCTCCTCCTCCTTCTACAAAGTTACAATGTACAGTCTGATCACTGGGGGAGGGGAGTCTGAGGAAATGCCTCCCCCTACCTGCAGCAGACTGATGATCCTGTTGCTGTATATTAGGACGTCAGGAATGATGTAGTCAGTGACAGGTCCACTTTAGGTCATTACCTGTAGGGGGGAGTGGCCTTATCTAGTTCTTGGTGTGGTCATGACACCTGGTCTGGCTCCCTGTACAGTGGGGGGCTTCTGGGGTTGTATTTGGGGGGGAGGGGGGTTTCTGGGGTTGTATTTGGGGGGAGGGGGCTTGTATTTTGGGGGGTTTCTGGGGTTGTATTTGGGGGGAGGGGGGTTGTTTTTTGGGGGGTTTCTGGGGTCGTATTTGGGGGGGAGGGGGGGTTGTGTCCTGGGGGGGTTGTATTTGGGGGGGTTGTCTGTCACTCGGGGCTGATGGCGCAGGGAACATTGGATTGAATTTTCATGCCCTGCTGGAGAAGGAATTGATGGCAGACACAGGCAGAAGCTTGACTTTGCCCCCAGCCAGGGACGTCACCCCGGGGGGGGCCACAGGGTGGAGTCCAACCCTGATGTGACCCAGCTCAGACGCCCCCCTCCCCCCCTCGGGCTCCGCTCTCCATCTGCTAATGCGTTCCGTCCGCAGGAGCCGCAGCTGAGCCCCTCTGTGGATATTATGGGCGCCAAACCATTCCGGTTATCAATACGTTGCTGTGTGAGTGCCGCCGTATGTGACCCAATTATTCCCAGCCAGTGCAGATCAATCCTAACCGATGCGGGGGACAGGACGGCGCACTGACCAACGCAAACCTTCCCCACCGCATCGCCAGCTGATCCACAACCAACATTAGAGCCCGCTGCGTGCTTCGGGATATTCCTTCCAATTCATCCGGTGACCTGCCGGTCCCATCCACAGGGAAGAAAAAATATAAAAAAAAATTACTCTTCCCAAATATACAAAATGTATATATATACTACATGCTGAAAATGCGTTTTTAATATATTTCAAAATATTTTTAAGAATATTTTTTTTTTTAAATAGGGAGGAGGGGGAGAGGCAGAAAAGCACAACTTATCCGTTTTGGGTGACATTCTGCTCTAAAGTTGAGTTTATCTCCGTTTCATTCAGAGGGGATGCCAATTGCATGCCGAGATATACAGAACACCACTAGGGGGGGCACAGTCCCGCCTCCACCTTTGAAAAGCGATGCATAATTATTATACCATTAATAACAGAACTGCTAATAATAATAATAAATGGTGGGAACATTCCGCACATCAACTGCTGGATAAATAAAAAAACATATAAGATATCAGTGCAACAGAAAAAGAGAAAAAAAAGCTACAAGCTGACCAGATTTCTGTCAGGATCAATCATTTCTAATGTATTAAATTATTTATGTATTATTTATATATATAGAAAGAGAGAGGATTAGGGGGAACGATAAGAGGGAGAGAGAGGAGGGGGGAAAGAGAGGGAGAGGAAAGGGGGGGGGGGGGAGAGAGGGAATGAGAGAGAGAAAAAAGGAGGGGAGAGAGAGGGGGGGAGGGAGAGGGGGGGAGAGGGAAGGGATAGAGAGGGGGGGAGAGGAGGAAGAGAGAGGGGGAGAGAGGGGGGCAATAGAGAGAGGGGGGGGAGAGAGGGGGAGGGAAAAAGAAGAGAGAGAGAAATAAAAGGGAGAGAGAGGAAAAAAAGAGAAAAAGGAGAAAGAAAGAGAGAGAGAGAGGAGGGAGAAGAGAGGGGGGGGGGAGAGATAGGGAGAGAGAGAGAGAGGGAAGAAAGAGAAATAGAGGGGAGAGAGAAAAAAAGAGGGAAGAGAGGGGGGGGGAAGAGAAAAAGGGGGGGGGAAAGAGAAGGGAGATAAAGGGGAAAAAAAAGAGAGAAAAAAGAGAGGGAGAAAGATCAAAAAGGAGAGAAAGGGAAGAGAGAAAAGGGAAAAGAAAGAAAAAAAAAGGGGAAAAGGGAGAGAGAGGAGAGGGGGAAGAAAAGAGAGAGGTGAGAGAGAGAGGAAGGGAGAGGGGAGAGACTAGAGAGAGGAGGCGGGAAGAAGGAAAGAGAGTAGGGAGAAAAGGAAAGAAAGAAAAAAGAATAAGAGATGGGGGAGAAAAAGAGAGAAAGGAGAAAGAGAGGAGTGAGAAAGAAAGAAAGAGAGATAGAGGGGGGAGCAGAGAGAGGGGATAGAGAGAGAGGGGGGGAAGCAGAGAGAGGGGATAGAGAGAGGGGGGGCAAGGAGAGAGGGATGGAGAGAGAGAGGAAGGGAAGGAAAGAGAGGAGAGGAGAGAGGGAGGGATAGAGAGGGAGGGGGGTATAGGGGGGAGAGATGTATTTTGTATTATTATTGTTCATAATAATAATACATTCTATTACAGAAATCATTCTATAGGACATATAGGACATGGATAATAATAAATAATTTAATACTAATCATTAATGCAGCTTTTTCAGCCACAACTACTAATAATTAATATTTTAAAATAAATAAAACTATTTCTACTACTAGTACAAATAATAGAACTGACAGTATGAATTGATCAGGAATTGGAGGTGTATGGCTGTATTTGGGGGGGGGTTGCAGTCTGACAACGCTGCTCCCGCCGACGTGCGTTGCTCTTTAATGCAGAGGCGTCCCTGTCTGCTCGGAGGGGTGTGAACGCTTCCACTCCATTCACTTGTCTCTTGTGTCCCATCAGTGGTGACAATGCAACCTTTGTGGCTTCCTGGGGGGGGATAAACACTGTCTCCAATGGCAATGGCTCTTTTCCAGATGCACCAATGAGCAAGCAGCGCCAGCCCGGGAGGACCGGACCCCTTTATATAAGGAGAGGAGCCCGAGCCCCCCACCAGAAAATGTTCAGTGTGCACCCCGCAAGATGGAGAGGAGCCACCGACCTCGCCCTGGCTGGGGAAGGCAGTGCCTGGCCTTACTGATCGTTGTGATCATCACTGCGCATGCAGGTAAGTCCCCGAGACTTCAGGACCGGCGGATGGATATTGACCCCCAACAGGATCATGTCCACCCCCAGTCACATCAAACCCAACTTTGAAATCGCACGACTTACCTTACTCACCGCTCTAATTGTGGACAAAAGGGTGCGACTTGGCTTGAGATGTGCAAGTCGCATGGCGTGTAAATCGCATGCAAATCGCATCCAGCGTGACCGGGGACTTAACAAGGCAGCGCAATGATCTGTAAAACTACAGCAGCCTGGAGACACCAATCTCCTCTGTCAGAGATAAAAAGGTAACTTTTGATTGGCTGGCACAGATCGCTGCGAGCGCAGAGGAGCTGCATCCTCAGAGAGTTCATTCTCTTTATAATCCGCATCCTACCTGTCACTCGGGGAAATGTTACATCGTTCAATTGTTACATAGGCCGAATAAAGATACAAGTCTTGTAATTCAACCAATAGAAAAAAGAATGAATGAATAATAAAAAAACCTCCATATACAGAATTCTATATTCACCCGTATCCTATATACAGAGGAAGGCAAAAAAAAAAAACACTACAAGGCCTGGCGTTGTTTTCTGGAGATTTAATATTATTATTATCATTATTATTATCATCATTATTATCATCATTATTATTATTATATTTTTTAAAATTATTTTAAAAATATAGAATTTAGGAGGAAATCTTTACAGGTAAGAGACCGTGTTACAATACATGTGCATCCTCTGTTGTTTTTTTATTTTTGTTTTTTAAATTTAAATGGCAAAACCCCAAACACTCCGCGTTACCATACAAGTGCATTCTCTGTTGTTGTTGTTGTTGTTGTTTTTCTTTTCCTTTTTTTTTTTTAATTTAAATTGCAAAACTCCAAAAAATTTAAATGCTATCCTGATTTTTTTTTTTTTCCTTCGAACAGAAAATGAAAATACAAAGTTCAGTTATGCATCGAACACACTGCGCAATCAGACCAAAAATGATTTGAAGTTTTCCAACTTTTCAATACAACTCCAAAATAAAGTATACTCAATTTTGCTTGGAATTTAGAACAATAGAAGGAATATTGAATAATTGCTTTTACCGTGTGTGGGCGGCATGCGCGGTTGGCCGGTTTTTGGTAGCTCTGTAGCCGTTTAATCAGCTGCTATTAAACTCTAAGGAACAATGGAGTGCAGGGTGTGTTGGCGTGATTATCCCGTAATGATGGCACGATCTGCGCCATGGATTGCGCAACAAAGGTGCCACTTGAAATGCAATTTTTGTCGTCTTATGTGTTTCGTATGCCATCCTAATGTGGAGTGTTTTCCATTCTTTTTCTTCCTATTATTATTATTATTATTTTTGATTCAGCAGCAGAAGCGCAGAGTGTTCCATCTATATTTTTTATTATTGTTATTATTATTGATTATATTATTATTATCATTTATGATTCAGCAGCAAAAGTGCTGAGAAGTCCCTCTATATATTATTATTATTAGTAGTAGTATTTTGTTTTTGACCCAGCGGCAAAGGTGAGGAGTGTTCCATCTATATTTTAGTATTATTATTATTATTATTATTATTATTATTATATGTGATTCATTATTTATGATTCAGCAGCAGAAATGCTGAGAAGTCCCTCTATATTTTATTATTATTTATTTATGACTCAGCAGCTGAAGTGCAGAGAATTTCCTCTTAATTTTATTATTATTATTATTATTATTATTGTTAGTAGTATTATTAGGATTATTATTAGTATTTTTTTTTTGGTCCAGCAGCAAAGGTGCGGGAGTGTTGTCTCTATATTTTAGTATTGTTATTATTATTATTATTATTTATGATTCAACAGCTGAAGTGCAGAGAATTTCCTCTTAATTTTATCATTACTAATATTATTAGGATTATTATTATTTTTTTTTATGACCCAGCAGCAAAAGTGCACAGTGTTTCCTCTTGTTATTGCTATTATTATTATTATTTATGATTCATTATTTATTACTGTCCTGACATTTGGGGGGATTTGTACCGTCCTGACATTTGGGGGGGATTTGTACCATCCTGACATTTGGGGGTATTGGTACTGTCCTGACATTTGGGGGGATTTGTACTGTCCTGACATTTGGGGGGATTTGTACCGTCCTGACATTTGGGGGGGATTTGTACCGTCCTAACATTTGGGGGGATTTGTCCTGTCCTGACATTTGGGGGGATTTGTACCGTCCTGACATTTGGGGGGGATTTGTACCGTCCTAACATTTGGGGGGATTTGTCCTGTCCTGACATTTGGGGGGATTTGTACTGTCCTGATATTTGGGGGGATTTGTACCATCCTGACATTTGGGGGGGATTTGTACTTTCCCGACATTTGGGGGGATTTGTACTGTCCTGACATTTGGGGGGGATTTGTACCGTCCTGACATTTGGGGGGGATTTGTACCGTCCTAACATTTGGGGGGATTTGTCCTGTCCTGACATTTGGGGGGATTTGTACTGTCCTGATATTTGGGGGGATTTGTACCATCCTGACATTTGGGGGGGATTTGTACTTTCCCGACATTTGGGGGGATTTGTACTGTCCTGACATTTGGGGGGGGGATTTGTACCGTCCTAACATTTGGGGGGATTTGTACTGTCCTAACATTTGGGGGGATTTGTACCATCCTGACATTTGGGGGGGATTTTTATTGTCCTGACATTTTGGGGGTATTTGTACTGTCCTAACATTTGGGGGGGGGGGGGGGATTTTATTGTCCTGACATTTGGGGGGAGTTTGTACTGTCTTGACATTTAGGGAGGATTTGTACCTGTCCTGATATTTGGGGGGACTTGTACCGTTCTGACATTTGAGGGGGATTTGTACCGTCCTGACATTTGGGGAGGATTTGTACCGTCCTGATATTTGGGGGGGATTTGTACCGTCCTGACATTTGGGGGGATTTGTACTGTCCTGACATTTGGGGGAGGGGGATTTGTACCGTCCTGACATTTGGGGGAGGGGGATTTGTACCGTCCTGACATTTGGGGGGGATTTGTACCGTCCTGACATTTGGGGGGATTTGTATCGTCCTGACATTTGGGGGGATTTGTACCGTCCTGACATTTGGGGGGGATTTGTACTGTCCTGGCAAACAAATGGCAGTTGTTGATACGCAGTCCTTAGGCCGGCTTTAGGTCTGAGTTTCTCTGGGATGAGATCAGCCAATCAGCTCTTTGTGTTTTATTCCCAAACAGTTTCAAAGAGTTTTGAAAAGTTCTGGAAACAGTTCCAGCTGGTGTCAGTGGATTTTGTTTGCTCTGCCTCCCCGGGATGACACCTTCAATGGGCCTTTGTGGGCTTCTCCAGTTGACTTCTAAAGGCAGACTGTGAGTGAGCGGAACAGCACGCGGGGGGGGGTTGTGGGGGGGTCCCATCTCCGCTGAGAGGCCACCATTGAATGCCATCGGTTACCGGGCTGCGAAGCTCCTTTCATGTTGTCACTGACAAGACGCAAATGAGATTCTGAAGAGATTTGTGTGGCCGGCGTATTGTCTGCGCATCAAAACAACCCTAAACAGTCCGTGTCCTGGAAACATGGACCGAGGAAAGGCCCCCCCCCCCCGAAGGGGAAGCCCACGCTGAGCAATTCTAAAAAAAACTGTATCAAAATATTATAAAAATTTGGATGAAGTGGGGCATCCATATACAGTCCAAAAGAGTACCAGACCAACCAACCAGCGTTCCACATGATGCCCCATCATTGTGTGTCAGTGGGAGGAATAGTGCCCCATCATTGGTGTCAGTGGGAGGAATAGTGCCCCATCATTGGTGTCAGTGGGAGGAATAGTGCCCCATCATTGGTGTCAGTGGGAGGAATAGTGCCCCATCATTGGTGTCAGTGGGAGGAATAGTGCCCCATCATTGGTATCAGTGGGAGGAATAGTGCCCCATCATTGGTGTCAGTGGGAGGAATAGTGCTCCATCATTGGTGTCAGTGGGAGGAATAGTGCCCCATCATTGATGTCAGTGGGAGGAATAGTGCCCCATCCTTGGTGTCAGTGGGAGGAATAGTGCCCCATCATTGGTGTCAGTGAGAGGAATAGTGTCCCATCATTGGTGTCAGTGAGAGGAATAGTGTCCCATCATTGGTGTCAGTGGGAGGAATAGTGCCCCATCATTGGTGTCAGTGGGAGGAATAGTGCCCCATCATTGGTGTCAGTGAGAGGAATAGTGTCCCATCATTGGTGTCAGTGGGAGGAATAGTGCCCCATCATTGGTGTCAGTGGGAGGAATAGTGCCCCATCATTGGTGGTCAGGTGGGAGGAATAGTGCCCCCATCATTGGTGTCAGTGGGAGGAATAGTGCCCCATCATTGGTGTCATCATGGTGTCAGTGGGAGGAATAGTGCCCCATCATTGGTGTCAGTGAGAGGAATAGTGACCCCCCATCATTGGTGTCAGTGAGAGGAATAGTGTCCATCATTGGTGTCAGTGGGAGGAATAGTGCCCCATCATTGGTGTCAGTGGAGGAATAGTGCCCCATCATTGGTGTCAGTGGGAGGAATAGTGCCCCCAATTGGTGTCAGTGGGAGGAATAGTGCCCATCATTGGTGTCAGTGGGAGGAATAGTGCCCCCATCATTGGTGTCAGTGGGAGGAATAGTGCCCATCATTGGTGTCAGTGGGAGGAATAGTGCCCCATCATTGGTATCAGTGGGAGGAATAGTGCCCCATCATTGGTGTCAGTGGGAGGGAATAGTGCCCCATCATTGGTGTCAGTGGGAGGATGGAATAGTGCCCCATCATTGGTGTCAGTGGGAGGAATAGTGCCCCATCACTGGTGTCAGTGGGAGGAATAGTGCCCCATCATTGGTGTCAGTGGGAGGAATAGTGCCCCATCATTGGTGTCAGTGGGAGGAATAGTGCCCCATCATTGGTGTCAGTGAGAGGAATAGTGCCCCATCATTGGTGTCAGTGGGAGGAATAGTGCCCCATCATTGGTGTCAGTGGGAGGAATAGTGCCCCATCATTGGTGTCAGTGGGAGGAATAGTGCCCCATCATTGGTGTCAGTGGGAGGAATAGCGCCCCATCATTGGTGTCAGTGGGAGGAATAGCGCCCCATCATTGGTGTCAGTGGGAGGAATGCGCCCCATCATTGGTGTCAGCGGGAGGAATAGTATCCCATCATTGGTGTCAGTGGGAGGAATAGTGTCCCATCATTGGTGTCAGCGGGGAGGAATAGTGTCCCATCATTGGTGTCAGCGGGAGGAATAGTGCCCCATCATTGGTATCAGTGGGAGGAATAGTGCCCCATCATTGGTGTCAGTGGGAGGAATAGTGCCCCATCACTGGTGTCAGCGATGAGAGGGAATAGTGTCCCATCATTGGTGTCAGCGGGGAGGAATAGTGCCCCATCATTGGTGTCAGTGGGAGGAATAGTGCCCCATCACTGGTGTCAGCGAGAGGAATAGTGCCCCATCACTGGTGACAGTGGGAGGAATAGTGCCCCATCATTGGTGTCAGTGATAGGAATAGCTCCCATTGGTGTCAGTCATCCTGCTTTGCCCTACATGGCTGATGAAAGGTTATTGGCAGGGATTGGGTAGAGGGTGGCGGAAGGTCTGGGTTGGGTTAATGGCTGTAACGTTAGGTCTGCAGGTTAGTGGCCGTGTCACACCCAACCCAAGCAGAAGATTCTGAGTTCTGAGTGTAGAAGGCAAACTAACTGGTACGGTCTTCCTTCTTCAGCTCACAAGTCCGATGTGGGCAGTGATGTCTCCACCACCCTCCTCAATCACTCCTCCATGCTCATCCAACGACTGCAAGAACTGCTGCATTTTGGAAACTCCACTGACACCACCCTCCGCATCCGCACCACCAGCTCTGACGAGGTGAAAGTCATCCAAGCCCACCAGCTGCTCCTCACCCTGCAGAGTGACATCTTTGAGGGACTCTTAGCCAACCAGAGCGTGGTGACCCTGCAGGAGCCTCCTGACTGCGCCATACTGTTCGAGAAATTTATAAGGTGAGTTTGTAGTGCAGCACCACCCCCTTAGGAGTTGCTGAAGATTTGGGTCCCCCTATAGTCGAGCACAGCCAGGCAACACGCATTTTCCACAGACTTGCTCTCCAGAGTCAACAGTCCTTGAGCTTGGTTTATTTTACGTTTATTAGGGGTATTGAACTTAGATGGGGTGAGGGGTGTATGGGATGCCCAAGGGAACTGAAAACTGAAGACAACTTCCTGGAAACTATCTACAAGTCCTCCAGCAAAAAAAGTCCTTTCTTGGAGAGTTCTCCAGCCTCTCCTGGTGTACCACCCCTGACCCCAGATGAACCCTCTTCTCATCCATCTATCTGGAGGAATCCCTGGGCAAAGAGACCCAGTGTCTGCCACAGGGGCGGACTGACCATTCGGGAACTGGGACACTGCCCAAGGGCTCAGGGTCAGTAGGGGACCCCATGAGATGCCCCTAGTACCTTTCATATGCTTTTTTGGGTGTGGGTGAGGACACAGGAGCCCCATGATCCCGTATTGCCTGGGGGCCCCATGAGTTGTCAGTCTGCCCCTGGTCTGCCACTTTAAGTTGAAACAGTCCCAGTAAGGAGCTAGTCAGATTTCCCACCAGAATGCCCCTTAACTGGCCCATGGGGTGTAGGATTATGCACTCTTCCTTTCCTGTGAGTTTGTTGGGTTGGGTGGTGCCTTCAGGCCGTCTGCTGAGCTGGCTCCTTCCCTGCTGCACAGGTGGTCCTCTCTCAGGGGGCTACCAAACTTGAGTGATCCTCCTTTCCAGCAACTCTGCCTGAAGGAAGGCCCCTTCCCACTGAGCCCTCTCCCAGGTTCCTGCACCTCACATCTTCCACCTGAACTCTCCTACTGCTGAGGCTTAAAACATACTTAAAGGCTGATCCAACCAAGCTTCCTGCCTGGGGATTGGTCGGGATCCTTTAACCACTTCCAGTCCGGACACTTTCCCCTCCTTCCGGTCCGGACACTTTCCCCCCTTCCGGTCCGGACACTTTCACCCCCCTTCCAGTCCGGACACTTTCACCCCCTTCCGATCTGGACACTTTCACCCCCTTCCAGTCCGGACACTTTCACCCCCTTCCAGTCCGGACACTTTCACCCCCTTCCAGTCCGGACATTTTCCCCCCCCCTTCCAGTCCGGATACTTTCACCCCCCTTCCAGTCCGGACACTTTCACCCCTTTCCAGTCTGGACACTTTCCCCCCTTCCAGTCCGGACACTTTCCCCCCTTCCAGTCCGGACACTTTCCCCCCTTCCAGTCCGGACACTTTCACCCCTTCCAGTCCGGACACTTTCACCCCTTCCAGTCCGGACACTTTCCCCCCCTTCCAGTCCGGACACTTTCCCCCCTTCCAGTCCGGACACTTTCACCCTCTTCCAGTCCAGACACTTTCCCCCCCTTCCAGTCCGGACCCTCTCCCCCTTCCAGTCCGGACACTTTCACCCCCTTCCAGTCCGGACACTTCCCCTCCCTTCCATTCCCCTCCCTTCCAGTCTGGACACTTTCACCCCCTTCCAGTCTGGACACTTTCACCCCCTTCCAGTACGGACACTTTCACCCCCTTCCAGTACAGACACTTTCACCCCCTTCCAGTCCGGACACTTTCCCCCCCTTCCAGTCTGGACACTTTCACCCCCTTCCAGTCCAGACACTTTCCCCCCCTTCCAGTCCGGACACTTTCACCCCCTTCCAGTCCAGACACTTTCCCCCCCTTCCAGTACGGACCCTCTCCCCCTTCCAGTCCAGACACTTTCACCCCCTTCCAGTCTGGACACTTTCACCCCCTTCCAGTCTGGACACTTCCCCCCTTCCAGTCCGGACACTTCCCCCCCTTCCAGTCCGGACACTTCCCCCCCCTTCCAGTCCGGACACTTCCCCCCCTTCCAATCCGGACATTTTTTTTTAGACAGATAAAACTTTATTTTGGTGGTATTTATTCACCGCTGGGATTTTTGTTTTAGAGAATCAGCAGAGCTGTGGGTTACTACTGTGTAGGGGATTGGTAGAGCTTGAGATTACCACTGAGTGAGGGATCAGCAGAGCTGGGGGGTAATACTAAGTGTTGGATCAGAAGAGCTGGGGGTACTACTGAGTGGGGCATCAGAAGAGCTGGGGTTTACTATTGAGTGGGAGATTGGCAGAGCTTGGGATTACTACTGAGTGTGGGATCAGCAGAGCTGGGGGTAATACTAAGTGTGGGATCAGCAGAACTGGGGGTAATACTAAGTGTGGGATCAGCAGAGCTGGGGGTAATACTAAGTGTGGGATCAGCAGAACTGGGGGTAATACTAAGTGTGGGATCAGCAGAACTGGGGGTAATACTGAGTGAGGGATCAGCAGAACTGGGGGTAATACTAAGTGTGGGATCAGCAGAGCTGGGGGTAATACTAAGTGTGGGATCAGCAGAGCTGGGGGTAATACTAAGTGTGGGATCAGCAGAGCTGGGGGTAATACTAAGTGTGGGATCAGCAGAGCTGGGGGGGTACTACTAAATGGGGCATCAGAAGAGCTGGGGTTTACCATTGAGCCAGGGATCTGTTGAACAAAGGTACTAGTGATCTGGGGATCTGCTGACTGGGGGTGCTAATGAACTGGGGGTACTACTGTGCTGGGGGTACATCTGAGCCCCTTTAAAGCAAATAGAAAATCAACACGTACGGGGCATCTGCCGAGCTTCTTTAAAACTTCAAAAAAACCATCACAGAAGCATAAAAAAACGTACGTTGAAGCTGTAGATTAAAGTCGAAGTGTCAAGGAGCCCCGACACAGGTGACCATCTGCCATCATCCTTTTCAGAGTTCCTACTGGCCAAAGAGGCTCATTGTAACAAGATATTAAGCCCTCATCATAGAGGAGGCAAGGAAAGGCTCTTCTGGAAGATGAAGGTAACACACGGTGTTCGCTTTTAGGTAGGAATATTATATTGAAAAGTTGTAATGAGGGTACAGGTTCACCATAACCCACCGTAACCAACCAGAACCCATCTTGCACTAGACTTGACATGAGCATGGCGAACTTTCATTTATTGAGATGCTATTCTAACTTTTTTTTTGTAATCTTAGAGCAATAATCTATATCTGTCCTTTAGGTATTTTTACTGCGGGGAAATCTCAATCCAGTTAAGCCAAGCCATCTCGTTGCATCGGCTGGCCAGCAAGTACCATGTTCCTGCTCTTCAGAGAGGTGTCACAGAGTATATGAAGAACCACCTAGCTAGCGAGTCATCCCAGGGCCACGTAGTGAGTTGGTACCATTATGCAGTGACCATGAGCGATGAAATACTTCAGGAGAGCTGTCTGAAGTTTCTGGCCTGGAACCTTTCCACTGTGATGAGCAGCAGCGAGTGGGCAACGGTGAGTGACGACCTCATGGTGTCCCTTGTGCAGCGCTCCGATCTTGTTCTGCAGAGTGAGCTAGAACTCTTTAGTGCTGTGGAAGAGTGGATCATGAAGAACAGCCCAAATGTTTCCATTATTGAGAGGGTTCTGAGATCTATGAGATACCCAATGATCCCACCACACCAACTCTTCCAGATCCAGAAACAGTCAACCCTACTGGCCACCTACCATAGCTTTATCCAGGATCTTCTGTTTCAAGCTTTTCAGTTCCATTCATCTTCTCCGCTACATTTCGCAAAGTACTTTGATGTAAACTGCAGCATGTTTATTCCTCGGAATTATTTGTCTTCATCTTGGGGTTCCCAATGGATCATCAACAATCCAGCCAGGGATGACCGAAGCCTCAGCTTTCAGACACAACTAGGCCCAAGCAACCATGACTCCAGCAAGAAAATTACTTGGAATGCGCTTTTTTTCCCCACGCTGGCTTCCCGTTAGCCTTCGACCGGTCTACTCAGAGTCCGTGTCCAGTGCTTCCCAATCCAACCGCCTTGAAGAAGGAAAACCGCGGCTGGTAGTGAATTCAGCCATGAGCGGTCTAGATTTTGCTGGCGTTACGTTCCAGAAAACCGTGCTTGTTGGAGTGAAGAGACAGCATGGCAAAGTGTTCGTGAAGCACGTGTACAGTGTCCACCAGAGCACCGAAGAAGTGTCCGACTTCCTGGCCCACGCCGACCTGCAGAAACGCACCTCGGAATACCTGATCGACAACTCTCTGCATCTCCACGTGATCATCAAGCCCATCTACCATTCCCTCATCAAGGCCAAGTGATACACACCTGGGGTGGAAGAGCCTCCTAACCTTGCCATATGGCGACCATTGTGGTACTTAAAACTACCAGCATGGTGGAGATCTAGAATTGCTAGACAAGCCACACAGAGAGTTTGTTTGAGAACTGTGTAGCATTAAAGGACTACAGATCTTCAAGTGTTTACTGAAAAGGGTTTTAGAGTCCTGAATAGAAGAGAGTTTCATTATAAAGATCTAATATAAAGTAACAAGCCAAAGCAGTTGGAGGATTGTTCACAATGGTCAGCTGTTGAACCCTGCTTTAGAAGAAGAGGCCATTGTACTCCAGAACTCACCAAACTCCTCTGAATCCCCTATTATCGTCCAAACCATCACTTTACGTCCTAATGAAAGGGGCACTCGATAACCCCCGAAACGCTGTGGCTTGTTAGCCAAGATTTTTTTAGATGAAATAAATATTTTTGGACTCTTCCACCATTGGTGTTGCAATCTTGTTTCCTCCAACTCCTGGTTCTTTCTTTATTATTATACAGGATTTATGGCGCCAGCAGTTTGCTGAGCGCTTTACAATATAACGGGAGACAATACAATTCAATACAAGAGGGAGAGGAGGGCCCTGATTTTGGGAGCTTACAATCTAAGAGGGAGGGGCTGATCCTGGGAGCTTACAATCTAAGAGGGAGGGACTGATCCTGGGAGTTTACAATCTTGGAGGGAGGGGCTGATCCTGGGAGCTTACAATCCAGGAGAGAGGGGCTGATCCTGGGAGTTTACAATCTAGGAGGGAGGGCCTGATCCTGGGAGTTTACAATCTAAGAGGGAGGGGCTGATCCTGGCAGTTTACAATCTAAGAGGGAGGGCCTGATCCTGGCAGTTTACAATCTAAGAGGGAGGGGCTGATCCTGGGAGTTTACAATCTAAGAGGGAGGGGCTGATCCTGGGAGTTTACAATCTAAGAGGGAGGGGCTGATCCTGGGAGCTTACAATCTAGGAGGGAGGGGCTGACCCTGGGAGTTTACAATCTAGGAGAGAGTGGCTGATCCTGGGAGCTTACAATCTAGGAGGGAGGGGCTGATCCTGGGAGCTTACAATCTAGGAGGGAGGGGCTGACCCTGGGAGCTTACAATCTAGGAGAGAGTGGCTGATCCTGGGAGCTTACAATCTAGGAGGGAGGGGCTGACCCTGGGAGCTTACAATCTAGGAGGGAGGGGCTGTTGGTACAAAAGGTAATAACTGTGGGGGATGGACTGGTAGGAGGAATAGGAGATTTGGTTATCAGCTGAGGGCAGGATAGGCTTCCCTGAAGAGATCGGTTTTCAGAGATCGCCTAAAAGTGGGCAGAGTAGGCGATCGTCTCATAGATTGGGGTAGTGAGTTTCAGAGGATGGGGGAGGCTCTGGAGAAGTCCTGGAGATGAGCATGGGAGGAGGAGACAAGGGAGCTAGAGAGCAGGAGGTCGTGGCAGGAGTGGGGAGGATGGTTTGGGTGATATTTGGAGACAAGATTGGTGATGTAATTGGGGGTGGAGTTACAAATGGTTTTATATGTTATTGTTAATGTTTTGAATTTTATTGGTTGGGCAACGGGAAGCCAGTGGAGGGATTGACAGAGAGGGGTGGAGGACATTGAATGGAGGTCAGTGGAGGGATTGACAGAGAGGGGGTGGAGGACATTGAATGGAGGTCAGTGGAAGGATTGGCAGAGAGGGGTGGAGGACACTGAATGGAGGTCAGTGGAGGGATTGGCAGAGAGGGATGGAGGACACTGAATGGAGGTCAGTGAAGGGATTGGCAGAGAGGGATGGAGGACACTGAATGGAGGTCAGTGGAGGGATTGGCAGAGAGGGGTGGAGGACACTGAATGGAGGTCAGTGGAGGGATTGGCAGAGAGGGATGGAGGACACTGAATGGAGGTCAGTGGAGGGATTGGCAGAGAGGGATGGAGGACACTGAATGGAGGTCAGTGGAGGGATTGGCAGAGAAGGGTGGAGGACACTGAGTGGAGGCCAGTGGAGGGATTGGCAGAGGGGGGTGGAGGACACTGAATGGAGGCCAGTGGAGGGATTGGCAGATATGGAACAGTTAGTAAGGTGGATGAGTCTGGCAGCAGCATTCATGATAGACTGTAGTGTGGATAGCCTGCGATGAGGTTGGCCAATGAGGAGTTACAATAGTCAAGGTGACAGATAACCAGGGAGGGAATAAGTTGCTTAGTGGTTTCCGAGGTTAAGAACGGGCGTGTCTTGGAGATGTTGCAGAGGTTGGAGATGTTGCGGAGGTTGGAGGTGTTGCGGGGGTTGGAGGTGTTGCGGAGGTTGGAGATGTTGCGGGGGTTGGAGATGTTGCGGAGGTTGGAGGTGTTGCGGAGGTTGGAGATGTTGCGGAGGTTGGAGGTGTTGCGGAGGTTGGAGGTGTTGCAGAGGTTGGAGATGTTGCGGAGGTTGGAGGTGTTGCGGGGGTTGGAGGTGTTGCGGAGGTTGGAGATGTTGCGGGGGTTGGAGATGTTGCGGAGGTTGGAGGTGTTGCGGAGGTTGGAGATGTTGCGGAGGTTGGAGGTGTTGCGGAGGTTGGAGGTGTTGCAGAGGTTGGAGATGTTGCGGAGGTTGGAGGTGTTGCGGGGGTTGGAGGTGTTGCGGAGGTTGGAGATGTTGCGGGGGTTGGAGATGTTGCGGAGGTTGGAGGTGTTGCGGAGGTTGGAGATGTTGCGGAGGTTGGAGGTGTTGCGGAGGTTGGAGGTGTTGCAGAGGTTGGAGATGTTGCGGAGGTTGGAGGTGTTGCAGAGGTTGGAGGTGTTGCGGAGGTTGGAGGTGTTGCGGGGGTTGGAGGTGTTGCAGAGGTTGGAGGTGTTGCGGAGGTTGGAGGTGTTGCAGAGGTTGGAGGTGTTGCAGAGGTTGGAGGTGTTGCGGAGGTTGGAGGTGTTGCAGAGGTTGGAGGTGTTGCGGAGGTTGGAGGTGTTGCGGAGGTGAAGCCTACAAGATTTGGACAGTGATTGGATTTGGGACTGGAAGGACAGATGGGAGTCCAGGATTACACCTCGTACCCTGGCATGGGGGGAGGGACTGATGATTGTGTTATTGATCTTGATGGAGAAGTCGGGGGAGGGGCACGGGCTGGAGGGAATAGTATGAGCTCAGTTTCTTGAGGGGTTTCCAAGTTCCGGAGTTGTCTAACCAGAGCCATTGAGTAATAGACTCCGCTTACATTGTAATAACAGTACAGTACCTGTTTTTCGCTCTGTCAGAACAATACTGATCCCGGCTGCTTCAGGGGTCGTCCATTCATGATAGACGTTGGGGGGCGGCCATTGGTGAACTCCTGAAAATGATGCCTTTCTTCAGCTCTCTACACAAAAATTCTAGAGCAAAATATGTAAAATTACCAAAACTGCAAACGTCTCCCAAAAATGTGATACATCTTGGATTTGTTTCAGAACCCCCCCCGGTGTCTGATCCATTGTCTAAGTGTCTGATTCACCATTTTTCATCTGGGGTCTCCAAACTCTGCCCCCGGGGCCACATCTGGCCTCCATCTTGAGTCACTGAGAGTATCCTCCATGTGCACTGATTGAGGGTAAGGGCTGCAGAGGCTGCCTATGGTCTCCTCATCTGATGTAAGGGGGTCTCCAATGGGGACCAAAATGTAAGGGAAGACATTGATGGGTACCCCTGATGTAAGGGTGGACTTTAATGGGGACCATGATCTAAGGGGGACTCTGATGGGGACACTGATGTAAGAGGGGACTTTGATGGGGACCCTAATGTAAGGGAAAGTTCTAAAGGGGACCGTGATGTAAGGGGGATCTCTGATTGGTATTCTCATATAGCGGGGACTTTGATGGGGACCCCTATGTAAGAAAAGACTCACATGGGCACCCTGATATAAGGGAAGACTTTGATGAGGACTCTGATGTCAGGGGGTACTATGATGGTGACACTGATGTAAGGGGGAACACTGATGGGGACCCTGATGTAAGGGAAGACTCTGATAGTGACCTGATATAAGGGGTAAATCTGATGGAGACCCTGAAGAAAAGGAAGACTTTGATGGTGACCCTGAAGGGGGGGGTTCTGATGGTGACCTGATGTAAGGGGGGACTTTGATGGGGACCCTGATGAAAGAAAAGATTCTGATGATGACCCTGAAGTAAGGGGAACTCTGATGGGGACCCTGATATAGGGGGAATTTTGATAGGGACCCTGATGTAAGGGAAGACTTTTATGGGAACCTTGATGTAAGAGGGACTCTCATGGGGACCCTGATATACCAGACCTAGGGAGGCTGACACTTTTTTTTGTTTTTCTTCCATTTGTGAATGATTGCACCAACTGTTGTCACCTTCTCACCAAGCTGCTTGGCCATAGTTTGGTAGCCCAGTCCAGCCTTGTGTAGGTCTACCATCTTGTCCCTGACATCCTTGGACAGCTCTTTGGTCTTTGCCATGGTGGAGAGTTTGGAATCTGATGGTTTGATGGCTCCTGTGGACAGGTGTCTTTTATACAGGTAACACAATGAGATTAGCAGCACTCCCTTTAAGAGACTGCTTCTAATCTCAGCTTGTTACCTGTATGAGAGACACCTGGGAGCCAGAAATCCTGCTGAATGATAGGGGATCAAATCCTTCTTTCCCTCATGAACATGCAGATCCGTCATCATTTGTTAGACGCATTTCTGCTGAATTTGTTGTTGTATTCTGTCTCTCAGTGTTACACCGAACATTCCATTGTTAGACCGATCATTTCTGTGTGAGGGGCGAACATTCCATTGTTAGACCGATCATTTCTGTGTGAGGGGCGAACATTCCATTGTTAGACCGATCGTTTCTGTGTGAGGGGCGAACATTCCATTGTTAGACCGATCGTTTCTGTGTGAGGGGCGAACATTCCATTGTTAGACCGATCGTTTCTGTGTGAGGGGCGAACATTCCATTGTTAGATCGATCATTTCTGTGTGAGGGGCGAACATTCCATTGTTAGATCGATCATTTCTGTGTGAGGGGCGAACATTCCATTGTTAGACCGATCATTTCTGTGTGAGGGGGGGAACATTCCATTGTTAGACCGATCATTTCTGTGTGAGGGGCGAACATTCACCATCAGGGGGGAGCAAATACACATTTCCTGCATTGTAAGGGTGGACTCTAATGGGGGTGATTCTCATAGGGACCCTGATGTAATGGGGGAGACTCTGATTAGGACCCTGATGTAAGGGGGGACTCTTATGGGAACCCTGATGTAAGGGGGGACTCTTATGGGAACCCTGATGTAAGGGGGGACTCTGATGGGGACCCTGATGTAAGGGGGAATCTGATTGAGACCCTACTGTGAAGGGGAGAATCTGATGGAGACTGTGATGTAAGGGGGGACTCTGATTAGGACCCTGATGTAAGGGGGGACTCTTATGGGAACCCTACTGTGAAGGGGAGAATCTGAAGGAGACCGTGATGTAAGGGGGGACTCTGATGGGGACCCTGTTGTAAAGGGAGACTGTGATCAGCACCCTGATGTAAGGGGGACTCTCATGCGGACCCTAATGTAAGGGAAGACTCTTATGGGAACCTTGATGTAAGGGGGAACTTTGATGTAGACCCTGATGTAGGGGGGGACTGTGATGGGGACCCTCATGTAAGGGGGGAATCTGATGGGGACCCTTATGTAAGGGGGGAATCTGATTGAGACCCTACTGTGAAGGGGAGAATCTGATGGAGACCGTGATGTAAGGGGGGACTCTGATGGGGACCCTGTTGTAAAGGGAGACTGTGATTAGGACCCTGATGTAAGGGGGACTCTCATGCGGACCCTAATGTAAGGGAAGACTCTTATGGGAACCTTGATGTAAGGGGACTCTCATGGGGACCCTGATATAAGGGTGGACTCTAATAGGGATGATTCTGATAGGGACCCTTATGTAAGGGGGCTTTTATGGATACACTGATGTAAGGGGGGACTCTGATGGGGACCCTGATGTAAAGGGGGAATCTGATGGGTACCCCACTGTGAAGGGGGGCTCTAATGGGGACTCTGACCTTTGTTTGGACCATCGATATTTGTAGGATATACAATGTGGCTTTCATACTGCAGGTTGGGGACTCCTGACTTAGACTCAGAGTCCCCCCCTGCGCGCTCTTCTCCAGGGTCTTAGTAGACATCAAACATGAAGTCAGAGAATCTTCTCCTTCAAGGGTCAGTCCAGCCATTATCTTTCTGTTGTCAGTGAAATCTCCCCCCTTCTTGGACTCCATGGGGACCCCAGCCAACCCCGGGCCCCGAATCCTCGGCTCTCAGCCAATCTCTGCAGATTTGTTGTTTCAATGTATCTAAATCCAGAGTCGTTCATTTTTGGGTGGAGCAGAGAAGGGGGAATGGCGTTTTTTTCCCCCTGTAATTTCTTGTCCCAGAGACAGGAAGTGAGAGGAAATCTCTCAAAAGCGAGGAAAAAAAATCCGCTGACAGTTGTTTCCTGAACAAGAGTCCCCATTGGACCTGTTCCTGTTCTGGTGACAACGGTCAAACTTTGGACTTCCCCCCACCCTCTGTCTCAGGGGGCAATGTTCACCAAAACGAATAAGGGGGGCCAATCGCCCCGGAGGGGGGCAGAGACCACGAAAAAATCCGACAGAGGGTCCAAGTCAGGGGTAATCTATGCACTCCAGCTATGAAACTACAAATCCCAGGAGGCATTGCAAGATTCTGACAGCCACAGGAATGACTCCCAGAGGCCGAGGAATGATGGGATTTGTAGTTTCACCGCAGCCTGCAGGCCAACCCTTCCCTACGCTAAAAAAAAAAAATCATTTTTCTTACAAATGCACTTTAAACTGTTGACGACGGCTGAACGCAGAGATGTGAAAACTGCCACCATGCGGAGAGCGCGCAGCAGCCAGAGGTGATTCGTAAACTCCCAATGGATCGAGAGCTTTCTGATCATGTGACTGCCGTGACAGCCAATCACATGACTTTTAGAACCCTTATGGTGCCAAGGGGTTAAGGGGCTTTATCATTTTGATGGGCTATGCCAGGGGTGGGCAACTGTGGCCCTCCAGCTGTTGTAGAACTACAAGTCCCATGAGGCATTGCAAAACTGACAGTTACAAGCATGACTCCCAAAGGCAGAGGCATGATGGGACTTGTAGTTCACCAACATCTGGAGGGCCACAGTTGCTCACCCCTGGGCTATGCAAATGTCTGTTCTCACAAGCACTTTTCGGGGGGCTCTAAATCAGACACCGCCATAGTCCACACTGGGGATGGGAGGGGGCAGACTGTGAGCTCTGTTGGGGAAATCCCGGAAATATATATAATTCAGTGGTAAAGCCAATCCGCATCCCCCATAATTGCCCTTCTAGGTTGAAGTCCATGTATGGATATTGTTACATTGTTACCAGGGGCGGACTGACAACTCATGGGGCCCCCGGGCAATAGGGGATCATGGGGCCCCTGTGTCCTTGCCCAAACTTAACAAAGCCTATGAAAAAGGTACCAGGGGCATCTCATGCGGCCCCCTACTGACCCCGGGCCCTCGGGCAGTTCCCGAGTTTCCAGACGGTCAGTCCGCCCCTGATTGTTACATTGTTCCAGCTTGGATGTAAAAAAATCAGACTAAAATTTCTAATAAAACTAAAAAGCCACACCCAATATGTAGCATCAATTAGCCACACCCCCTGTTTGCACTATGCATGCAGCAGGTCGCCATGTCCCTGCTAGGAGCCCCAGTGTATTATTTTGCCCAGGGGCCCATGACGCTGTTAAGTCGGCGCTACCTGCTAAGCTCCTCCCACAAATCTACTCTCAGGCTATGCACAACACAGTGATGATGTCACCGCTACTTTTACAAGATAACATCTGGGTTTGCAGAGGCATTTTGCGCACCCAAAGTGGATTCCTATCCTTTGGTGGATCATAAGGAGTACTGTATGTATATAAGACGCTGGAGGTGAGTTTTATAGTCCCCCCCTCCCCCCCAGCCATACAATGCTTTTTGCTTGACAAAGCCAGTTCCCTAGATTTCCTCTCCCTTCCTGTGGTGTCACCGGGACAGGAAGTGAGTAGGTGTCCTCCCAATAATGGTCTACCTCTCCGGACTCCACGCTTCCACAATCCTCCGTCCAGAAGAATCACTAAAATCACTTTATTTCAATTCATTTATATAAAAAGACAGCAGACAGGAAAAAAAATAATAATCAGTACAAACATACAAAGTGAATGGAGACGCGGACATCGGATGATCCGAAATACAGATTCAGTAGTGACTCCGCCCCCTGCGGCGATGGGGGGGCCAATACAAGTGCTAGTCCTGACGAGTCTCTCAGTGCCGGGTAATGTAGATTCTCAGGTGAGCTTTAACAAAAGTGAATTTGTAAGAAACGGTTTTTATGAACGATTTCCTCAACCAAAGTGCGTCGCGCTCATACGAAACTCTGCAAAACCATGTGCCCGCTAAGCGTGTGCGCACCATAAAGGCGCATTTCCCGCACGGGAACGCGCTGCCCTTGCTAGACGCGCACGGGTGCCGATAACTTGTTAATGGTGCAGCAAGCGCATCTACAGAGGCAGTTTGGTGCGACGCAATTCGCGGTTTCCCTACTTTACCTGCACGTTGCTGCGCGTTTGGCAGACCACTGAAATGAATGGGCTTTCAAATACGCAACCCGCGCATCCCAGGGAGAACCGGCCGTCAACGCGAGCTGCTGGAGAACCATCATTACCGCCGCTGTCCCTGGAAGGGAAAGCTGCTTCCTGATTGGTTCCTGATTAGCACGACAGTCCTCATCATGCAAGTCCCCAGGGGTGCGCTTGTTGCTGATAGCGAACCAATCAGACGTACCCTTCTCACGGCTGCTCCCCGCCATCGCCCACATGGAAGAAAAATATATTATTCAAATATTCTTCCCAAATACATTGACATATATTTGAAATACTACAATTTTGGCCATATTTAATATATTTCAAATATATATTTTTTTATATATATATATATAAAATATATTATACATACATACATATACACACACATATATACATACAAACATACATATGTACACACACACACTACATGTTGAAATGCATTTTTTATATATTACAAAATATATGAAACATTTTTTAAAATATATTTTTTTTAAATATAATCAGATTTTTTTTTTACATATAAAAAAAGTAATTTTTACATATATTAGTAAATGCATTCCAAAAATGTAGATTTGTATTTTTTAAGACATACAGTATATTTGAAATTTATTTTTAGAAATATCTTTTATATATTTTGTAAAAAAAATGCATTACAACATCCAGTATATATGTAAATATATATATATATATAAAAAATTTTATTTAATTTTTTGATATATATTTGTTGAAATACATTTTGAAATATATTGAATATGGCCAAAATTGTAGTATTTCAAATATATTTTTCTTCCATATGGGCTGGGTTGCTATAGGCAACTACGACCGTCCTTGGTAAAAGAGGGGGCCCTGCGTTCTAATAGATGGCAACCCCATCCAATGACATTAAAGGGTTAGTTCACCCCCCCCCCGTGTCACCTCACTTGCACCATTGGTAGCACGCCCCCAATTATTCAATTATTTACCATCCACAGCCATGGGGTAATCTTAAAGGGTTAGTTCACTTTTACCAATACACGCCTGTGCAGGTAGGGGGCGCCTATAGGTAAAAAAAAAAAAAAAAAAAAGTTGAATGATGCCCTTGCTCTTGCTGTAGGCCAGGGGTGGCCCTCCAGCTGTTGAGAAACTACAAGTCCCATCATGCCTCTGCCTTTGGGACTCATGCTTGTAACTGTCAGTCTTGCAATGCCTCATGGGACTTGTAGTTTGGCAACAACTGGGGGGCCACCCGTTTGACACCCGTGGTGCAGGCCATTCACACACCTTCTGAAGTCTGTATGAAAAACTCCCAGAGATGGCATCGTCCCATCCTGCCTTGTTGCTAGGGCGTTGCTAAGACACTCCCAGCTGTTACCGTTCACCGGGTTTTTTTTTTTTTTTTTGGTAAAAGTGAACTATGCCTTTAAGAACACCCTGTGGCTGTGGATGGTAATTAATTGGGGGGCGTGCCACCAACGGCGCAAGTGAGGTCACACTAGGTGCACGGGAGGAGGGGGGGTGAACTGATCCTTTAATTTCATTGGATGGTGACACTAAGCGGTACGGCTCATACTAGGCACTCCATCCTCACTGTGACGGTTGCTCCGCATACACAAGGTGCCGTTGCTGGGCTGGTTGCTAAGACGCAGACGCAACCTCATTGGTTGTTATGGTGCAGGCAGGACAGGAGGTGATCAACAACGGATGGAGACGATAGCAAGTGTATTAGTGGGTTCCTGGGGACTTCGGTCCAGTCGGGCAAAGATGGGGAACTGCACCCCCTGCCAAGTCTCTAACACATGACATAGATAGGTGTAGCACCAGGGGCGGACTGACCATTCGAGAACTCGGGCACTGCCCGAGGGCCCGGGGTCAGTAGGGGGCCCCATGAGATGCCCCTGGTACCTTTCATAGGCTTTTTTGAGTGTGGGTGAGGACACAGGGGCCCCATGATCCCCTATTCCCCGGGGGCCCCATGAGCTGTCAGTCCACCCCTGCGTAGCACCATGCATGCGCTGTGCACCCGCTCTCTTCTCCCCTCTCCCCCGTGCTCCAGTTGTCCATAGTTGGCACACAGGATGCACGTCCCTTCTAACTGCTACGTATGGGTGGCTGCACATGCGTGGTTTTTTTTTTGTGTCAGCTGTGGTTGGTTGGGGGGGCGGAGTGTGGTTGCATCTGAGCACGGTGTGACAACACGCCCGGTAGAAAGCGGGCCGTGGTCTGCTAGTTCCCCACCACCGATCCTCCATTCAAGGATGCTGCGCCTGAGGCGACCGTCCCTTCTGCCCACCCCTTGTCCTGCCCCTGGAGGCAGCCATTTACCCCGATTGCCCCTCGCTGGCCTGGAACATTCCGGGGTTCTAATTACCATCCGTGTTCTCTGAGAAATCGGAAATTGCATAGTAATAATAAAAAAAAAAAAAGAGGGCTTGTTCGCACAGCGGACCGCAGGACCGCCTCTCCACCATCACAACGCCAAGGAAGGGAGGAGTACAGACTTTTGAATAGTTATTCTTTCTTTTTTTTTTACTTCCCCCTCCAGCACCCTCCAACAGTTCTGTATCTGCCTGCCTGGCCCGGGAGCTGCGCATGCATGCAGAAATCCTAGCCAATCATAGTTGGCCGCTCCTTAGGAATGAATGGGATTTTCCAACAGAAGGAGGAATGGCGGCAGTGGGAGGAGCTTGGACAGGTCAGTAGTAAATTTTGGAGTTGCGGAGGGACTTAATTAACAAAAAAAAATTGACCCCAGTCCTCTGCCCGGCCAATAGTGACCCCAGTCCTCTGCCCGGCCAATAGTGACCCCAGTCCTCTGCCCGGCCAATAGTGACCCCAGTCCTCTGCCCGGCCAATAGTGACCCCAGTCCTCTGCCCGGCCAATAGTGACCCCAGTCCTCTGCCCGGCCAATAGTGACCCCAGTCCTCTGCCCGGCCAATAGTGACCCCAGTCCTCTGCCCGGCCAATAGTGACCCCAGTCCTCTGCCCGGCCAATATTGATCCCAGTCCTCTGCCCGGCCAATAGTGACCCCAGTCCTCTGCCCTGCCAGTAGTGACCCCAGTCCTCTGCCCAGCCAGTAGTGACCCCAGTCCTCTGCCCAGCCAGTAGTGACCCCAGTCCTCTGCCCTGCCAGTAGTGACCCCAGTCCTCTGCCCAGCCAGTAGTGACCCCAGTCCTCTGCCCTGCCAGTAGTGACCCCAGTCCTCTGCCCTGCCAGTAGTGACCCCAGTCCTCTGCCCTGCCAGTACTGACCCCAGTCCTCTGCGCAGCCAATAGTGACCCCAGTCCTCTGCCCAGCCAGTAGTGACCCCAGTCCTCTGCCCTGCCAGTAGTGACCCCAGTCCTCTGCCCAGCCAATAGTGACCCCAGTCCTCTGCCCTGCCAGTACTGACCCCAGTCCTCTGCCCTGCCAGTACTGACCCCAGTCCTCTGCCCTGCCAGTACTGACCCCAGTCCTCTGCCCTGCCAGTACTGACCCCAGTCCTCTGCCCTGTCAGTACTGACCCCAGTCCTCTGCCCTGCCAGTAGTGACCCCAGTCCTCTGCCCTGCCAATAGTGACCCCAGTCCTCTGCCCTGCCAGTACTGACCCCAGTCCTCTGCCCAGCCAATAGTGACCCCAGTCCTCTGCCCTGCCAATAGTGACCCCAGTCCTCTGCCCTGCCAGTAGTGACCCCAGTCCTCTGCCCTGCCAGTAGTGACCCCAGTCCTCTGCCCTGCCAGTAGTGACCCCAGTCCTCTGCCCAGCCAATAGTAACCCCTGTCCTCTGCCCTGCCAGTAGTGACCCCAGTCCTCTGCCCAGCCAGTAGTGACCCCAGTCCTCTGCCCAGCCAATAGTGACCCCTGTCCTCTGCCCAGCCAATAGTGACCCCTGTCCTCTGCCCAGCCAATAGTGACCCCTGTCCTCTGCCCAGCCAATAGTGACCCCTGTCCTCTGCCCAGCCAATAGTGACCCCAATCC